ATAAAAGTGCAACAAATGGTGAATGCCGGTTGGTTGAAATTTGGAGAAGATCAAGATCATACCGACAACAACAAATCGCCTCATGGGGGTCAGTAGACATACCACAAGACAAAGCTCGATTCCAAGAGTGATAGCAAATAAATCTCGAGATACTTTACTATGTTGACTCGATGTATCAACCTTTATTTTTATAATGAGGAATAAAAGATCGCCCGCATTTTCACATATTTGGAACATTTTGTGGATATTATCAATCTTGATTTTAGGTTTTGCATCAATGATTCTCTTTTCAAAATGATTGCATCTCTTCCAAATATTTTTTTTTTAATTAACTTTGCTCCTCTAAAAATGGGAACCTTAAAATTGCATTTCATGTTTCCAAGTTAAGCCATGAGATTTTCATATTAAGAAAATATATACACCCCACTGGTGTCGAGTGATTATAAACACTTCATGAGTGTCAAAACTTTTGCACCCCACTAATAAACAGACTGTGCACACCTTACTGATATCGAGAGTTTGAGCATCCCAATGGTGTTGAGAGTGTAAACACCCCACTGGTGTCCATAAATAATGCGAGCTAAATAGTCAAAGGGTGTAACGGGGATACGAAACTAGACTGCTTATAGAAGCTTGTCACTACCATAACCGATATCATCTATAAAATTAAGGCTCGACTAGAAAGGAGGTTGATTATCCAAATCATGGTCCATAACCACCGATATGCCGACATCATAATAGCCAAATTCCCACAAAGCCCTAACGGCCAGAAGATTGAAGAGGTTGAATGATCCAATTTGACAAACTCACATCATCAGTTGAGGTTTTAATGAGACAAAAAGCTCCATTGTCCAAATGCCTACATCCCTAAGTCCGAATTGTGGGCTATCCAAGCAGAAAAAGCATTCGAACAATACGTGCCAGCACCAAATATCTCGCTTCTTCAAGAAAGGAATGACCAAGTGGCCTAGCCAACAAGGAGGACCACTCCAAAGATTGATGTATTGACAACTCTCCTAACAACTTCATGCTCGTATACAAAAATCAAAAGCGCCAAAATAGCAATATGTATGGGGGGCATAGCAAAGCCAAGTAAATCCCACAAAAAAAAAAAAGAAGAAGCCAAAAAGGCATGAAAAAAAATCAAAATAGAAAAAGCTCGTGGGACTTACACTTTGGATACCCATGCATGAGCACTTGAAGTCATAATTCTCAAGCAAGTCACGAATAAAGGTTATTGACTACCTTTCTAAAAGGCCAAAAGGATGATTTCGAGTCTGTCGTCAAAGTGGTCACAAGAGCAATGTAGAGTCATTCTCACAACCAACCTATCTACACACCCCTGCGGGGGCTAGTCATCAAATTAAACACCTATCCAAATGAAGAGTATTCGTCTGCCAAGCCTGAAGAAATGACACAAGTAAACTCGAATAGGATGGGGCACCAAAGAGAAGAATTTCTGCCTGATCTAAAATCCACTCCATGATCATCCTCATTTTCCATCACTTGAACTCTCCCTTTCAAGAAAAACAAAAACCACCATTATAATAATACTTCAGCAGCCATGCCTGCACCACAGAAGGGTTTTCCCACATTCATTATTTTGATAACCAATGAGAAGTCAAAGCTTGTATCATACCAAGACCTTCATCATCCATCCTTTCAAGGTAAAAAAAAAAGGACCCGACAAGTGACAAGATTTCCAGGATCAAATTTCTACTCAAATTACCTAGTCGTGCTTATCCCTCTAAATCAAATTTTCAAGACAAGGGGGCAACCTAAGCCAAAATATACCCGCAAAGATACCCAAGGCGAGCCACCATTCTCGAAAAAATGAGAGCTCCACAACAAAGATTTCATTTACCCATCAATCAGTCTCATACTTTGGGGGCAAGCCAAAAATTCCTCAACAATGGACTTTTCGCGAAGAAATTATCTCGCTTATCCATCAATCAGTCTAATACTTTGGGGAAAGCCAAACGTCCCTCCACAAGGAACTTCACGCGACAAGAAAAGACGATCCCCATTATCTATCAATCAGATTCATACCTTGGGGGCAAGCCGAAAACCCTCAAAATGAAGCTGCCTATGACTAAGGCCATATCATAGGATCTTCCTTTACCAACCTCTCATTTGCGACAAGCATAATTTCCATACCATGAGAACTCTTACAGTTGGAGTCATACCAAACCAAGCTTTTTCAGGAAAGTTCAGGAACTTTTACCACGAGAACGTACAAAGATTGCTCGAACTCTACATGATCAACAAACCTATACCTCGAGCACATTTTTTGCATCAACGTGGTGACTAGAATCTTAATAGTAGCCGAAGTATCGTAAACTCGAAGCACCCATAGAAATAAATGAGAGTGAATCTGTTCCCTCAAAAAAAATGAGAGTGAATCTGAGCATGAGAGTGAGAGTAAAAGTGAGGGCTTAAAGATATTCTCATGGCTTGACTTCTAATAAAAACAAATTTTTAAACAAAGGAAATAACAACACAAGAAATCATTTTTCTCATATTGCACACACTTCAGCGAGGTTTTGATTTCTAAAATCAGGGTCCCATTATTGCTTTTTCAAAATGAGATTTTTCAAACATTGATGCATTCATCTTAAGTCAAGATTGGTAAAGGTCACATTTTGTTCCAAAAAGAGGAAAACAAGTAACATATCTACGCAGGCAAATTGGTGCCACCCAAAAAAATGGTTCTCCAAACCCCTCAAATCTTTGAGTAAACAGGAAATCTCAGAGATCTTGAAACATTTATGTTCAAGCTATCCAACCTGTCAATCAAACTATCCTCCAACTAAATATTTTTTACCTCACACCTTCCGGCAAAGTCAATCAAACATGTCTAGAAACCGCCATCAACAAGACAATATCCAGAGATGACAAATTCCTCTTAGCCAAGCATGACATACTCGCATAACAAGAATATCAAACAAACTAAAAAAGCACATTATCCTGAGGCCACCTTGCTACAAAAGCCTCCCACAAAATCAACCTACCAAGCACAATCATGAATAAGAAAATCATATGGCTAACACATCAGCCACTCAAGCGCTAGTGTCCAAGGTGGAGAAAGCAGAGGACCAACCTTTCACCAAGTCCCAGAAATGACATACCTTGTGCTCACTGAGTATATAAAAGAGGATAAACTAGATGGCAAGCCCAGTACCTCGAGATAGTGACACACGCCAACGAAAGAAAGTACCCATGCCGGCAGTATGCTACTCCATTGCGAGCACAACCAAGGATCAAGTTTACTGAAAGGGAATGACATATTTTCCTTGTGGATGATCGAATTAAGAGAATCCATAAAAAACATCAACACCATGATTATGCATTATGCTCTTTCCTTTGCATACCCTTCAAGACATCATCATATGACTCATCATACAACCTTTTTCAAATGCACTTCACATACATCATATGGCATAATTTCCGAATGCACTTCAAACTAATCATATGACATCATGCATTCGGTAGCAAATCTCAAGAAATTCATAGCCAAAGTAAACATCAATAATTGCCAAAGTTCACTTAAAGTGAAAGAACATTTTCATCAACATATCTCATCATGATATTGCATCAGATCATATAATCATAAACATTTGACATCACATACAAACTTTGCAAGTTCAAGTTCTAGACCTATCTGAATTTCGTCTAGAATTTATCAATTGGTTGCTTTAACATCTCCTAACAAACATACAACTCCATGTCACCTATGATTAAGGTTTTTAAAAAACTCTGCATATCCTCAAACACAAGAAGGCTACACTGCGAAGAAGGTTACACCGCGAAGAAAGCTACATTGCGAGGGAAACCAATTAGCACCCACATTAGACTGCACTGCAAGGGAGCTAATCAGGACCCATAAGAAGGCTACACTGCGAAGAAGGCTAAACTACGAGGGAAACCAATTAGTACCCACAGGTAGGCTACACTGCAAGGGAGCTAATCAGGACCCATAAGAAGGATACACTGCGAAGAAAGCTACATTGCGAGGGAAACCAATCAGCACCCACAAGTTGGCTACACTGCGGGGGAGCTAATGAGGACCCATAAGAAAGCTACATTGCGAAGAAGGCTACACTGCGAGGGAAACCAATTAGTACCCACAAGAAGGCTACACTGTGAGGGAGCTAATTAGGACCCATAAGAAAGCTACATTGCGAAGAAGGCTACACTGCGAGGGAAACCAATTAGTACCCACAAGAAGACTACACTGTGAGGGAGCTAATTAGGACCCATAAGAAAGCTACATTGCGAAGAAGGCTACACTGCGAGGGAAACCAATTAGTATCCACAAGAAGGCTACACTGCGAGGGAACTAATCAGACCCACTAGAAGGATACACTGCGAGGGAAACCAATCAGCACCCACAAGTTGGCTACATTGCGAGGGAGCTAATCAGACCCACTAGAAAGCTACATTGCGAGAAATTAATTAGTACCTACATCTAGGCTACAATACCAGGGAGCTAATTAGAACTCACTAGAAGGCTACACTGCGAGGAAACCAATCAGCACCCACATCTAGGCTACATTGTCGAGGAACTAATAGGACCCATTGCATGACTATACCACATGGGAGCTAATCAATGACTTCAAAACTTCAAAGAAGTTGGTTAATGCACCAAACTAAAATATCACAATATAGTTAGTAAACCGACAAAAAATGGTGTGTTATGAATAACTTTGTATACCTCTCAAATACCAAGAGATATACAAAGGGGGGCAACTGTAGACACCACTTTTTGTCCGGGTTAAAACATATTTAATCAATTAAAATTTAGTGTCAGATTTGTAATAACAAATCTTGAACGATCTTCTAGCTTAAACATAATTGTAGTGCTTGGGTTGGGTCTTGCTTGCCATAATTCAATGAGATTAGCAATAGCTAATCTCAATTGATACAATTCATTAGTGATGACTTGACATGTGAATTAATTGATTCTTAAGACGTTGGGTCTTGTAAGAATTGAATCACGCTTTCGAAATAAAAAATAGGAGTCATAACAATCTTATTAAGACAGCTACAATGCCAAATAATTGAAAACGTTATTACAATTAATTACACCACTAATTTTCTATTAGGTTAAACCAATTACAATTGTACAATAAAATAAATTGGCATCAAGCCCACTCTACACTGGCCCAAATCCGGGTCAACATGCCTGCCCAATTTTTAACCCAACTCAGCCTATACCATCCAAACCAAACCGGTTCGATTCAACCCAATCCATAAGCTACACAAACATAGAGGGCGGCCCCTATCACCTCTCAAATCCAATTACATTGTGCCAAGGTTGTCAAACCGGTTTATGCCAGTGTGCCGGTTTAGCAAGTGGAATGGTTCAACCGGTGGCACATACCGGTTTGTGCCGGTTTATGCCGGTCAATATTACAAATAAAATTATAAATACTCATATTTAAACATGACATTTAACGTCAATACCTAAACATTTATACTTGAATCCAACAAATAACATCAATATTTAACTTTTATACTAATAAAATAAATAATAAAATAATTTTTATCAATTAAATTCTGTAAAACAAGATCATTTTACTTAGAGATTCGTATATCGATCATGCCGGTCATACCGGTGGTGTCACGCCGGTTTTATGACTGGTACCGGTTGAACCCGGTACAACCGGTGGCACGCCGGCCGGCGTGACAACCATGCATTGTGCCAACACATCTGATTTTTTTCTATAAAAAGAGCTCTTTAGCTCTGGCAAAAGGGGGGAAAGGAAAAAAACATTCCCTGAACCTTTTCTTCTCTGTCACTTCCTTCCTCCTCTTCCTCAAAATACCAAACAGAAAAGAGAAGCCGAAAAGAAAATAGAAAAACAAAGACAAACATTCCCTCACTCTCTTCTTCATACTGTCACCTTCTTTCCCCTTTCTAATTTTATTTCTTCTTCTTCCACCTCTTACTCAAAACCTGCACAAACAGAAGCCAAAAGAAGTTACAAAAATTCCCTCACCACAAGCATCCTACCACTGCCGCCAACTTCAGCAAAGCAAAAAAAAACCCAAGAAGGAGACGGAAAAAGGGAGGTCAGAATCATAATCAAACTACAAACAAAGGTTGGTAGCCAAAACCAACCATCATCATCTTAATCATTCATCTTCTTCAACCATCTCATTTTAAGTTCTTTTCAAAATAGAAACTCAATCAATCCCATTCAAACTACAAGCAGGTTGATTTTATTTGAAAGAGGAATATACCTAATCTATTCCAAGCAATTCCAATCTGACTACTCTCATCTACTTATTATTATCGTTGTACTTTATCAGATACTTTCTCATTCAAGCAATTAATCACTACTGTCATCTACTTGTATACATTCATCTTTCTACTCAAGTCCCTTTTACATTTTAAGCACTTACCATTATCACCATCCTTGTATTGATTTGTCTCCTCTTTCTATTTCTATATAAACTATAAAGCTCACAAATATCTTCGTTCAAGATAGCTATGTATAATTATACAGCTACTGATAATCTACTAATACCAATATAGATATATGTTTCATCGATCATCTCATTTATACTTTTATCATGTTAGTGTGAAATTCCATCATTACACACATATATAAAACAAAGCTAAAACCACCACTAATAAATCACGTAACAGAAAGCAACAGGCCATAATCCCAATCACTACTCAACTTTTAGTATTGAAAGCATCATAAATACCAAGTTACGTCTAGAATCTAAAGCCCCCATGAACCAACCCATAATACACAATGATACAGATTTATCAACCTGTCCTAAAACTACTCTGATAGAAATCCCAAACTTATAAAACACCATGAACCTCGAATCCAAAAATGGCCCAAAGTAACAGTTAATAGTCCAAACTCGAGTTCACCCACAATATATGAAACAACCAGATTTTGACCAAACTGCTCAAACAATAGATTTACCAAAAAACACCACCAATAAACCTTGAAATCATGCTAGAGTACACTCTAAACACAAAAGCAATGGACTTCCCAGAAACACAGGTTTGAAAACTAGTTTGAAACCTATAGAACAGAGAAACTAAACCAGAACCCATTAAGCAAACAGGATAAACCAGAAATAAATAAATCCATAGAAATAACCTACCCGAAATCCCCCACCGAAAATCGAATCTGTCCCCGGTGACTATATCCCATTTTCTCCTCTTCGTTCGAAACCAAAAAGATAAAAATAACGAGTAAGAACCAACCAAGAAAAAAAAACAAAAAATGACGAAACTAAGAAACGCTAGAGCTTACCAGAGGCGAGGTTCTAAGTCGCTGCTGTCTTTATCACCGGTAAAGCGCCGAGCCCCCGACGATTCTTGTTCCTCCTCCCCTTGATTGAACCTAAGATAGAACCCAGAAAATCAGAACTGAAATCAAGATGAAAACCCCTAAATCCCACATGCAAAAGCAAAAAAAACCCATCACACCCTCACGCCTGTGATACCCAGAACCGCCGCCGCGTCCATCGCCGTTAGTTTTGCACCGACGACGACTTCGTTCCCTTCCTTCGATCGAGAACAAAACCCCAAAACAAACAGAAACAAGTCAGAATCCCTAGATCTTCAACTAAATCACACAAAACCGCCACCACTCTCTTTACCCAGATTAAAACCCAAGAATCGAACCCTAAAATACGACGTGCACAAACTGTAAAAGGGCAAACTCACCTTAATCGCCGCTGTCGGTACCTTGGTCGGCGTCCATCGCTGATCTTCCACGCGCTTCTGTCTTTGTCTCCATTTCACTTCGTCGTTTCCATCAGAGGAGAGTAGCGGCTGTCTAGGGTCGGATTAGAGGTAGAATGGGTTTTTGGATTTAGCTTTAGGTCGAATGGAAGAAGAAGAAAATGAAAGAAAGGAGGCAGAGGCAAGGTTTGAGAGTGGCGGCCGCTTGGGTCGCAAATAGGAGAATGCTAGGGTTCCTTTAAGTTCAAACACAATTACACTCGTCTCTCGTAAAGACGGATTTGCCCTCGCCATCTTAAAAATTTAAAAATAAAACCGGCCCTATTGAGATTTGAACCCGCGTCCGTCAGATCAAAAATACCACGAGTTAGTTTAATCAGCCACTACGCTACATAATTTTACTTGCAACTTTAATCTCCTCATTTTTCCTTATTCCTGCTTAAGCTTAATACGCAATATTTGAATCGACTTATCGTGCTAAGATCGTTGCTTTTCACCAAATTATGGCTACCACTTTCGCTTTGCCTTCTTTATTCATACATATACTAGTTTTACCTAGAAAATCCCTTAATACGAAACCTCGATCAATATATCATGATAGTCGCTCTCAATAAAATTGTTTTAAAGATTATATAACACTCAATCACTAAATTGAAACATCATAAATACATTGTCTAACAACTCTAATTATCATCTTAGCCACGATCAATAGAACGTGTTAAGATTCCCTTTTCAAAACTTATCAACTTTATCGAACTACGTGGACTTTGATCCCGGATACTCGGGTACGTAGGCAACCAATAGGTTCGAGTCCAACTAACAAAAATAATCTTTCTTTACGTTCGAGATTTACGTTAATAAACGTATGATCGAATTGTAAAGATAAATATCTAAATTATCAAATCATCACATAATTAAATACGTAAATAAGGCAAAAATTATAAACACCCAACCTTTAAAAACTTATCGATTTAAGTAGTACCCATTTGGGGCGTTGTGGGGTGTGAATACACTTTCCCACACGTAACCGTACTCCCGAACCTAGAAAAATCTAAAACTCGCGGACCAGATTTCTGGTTTTAACCTAAATAACAAAACCGGAAATGGGTGTTCGATCCACCCCAAGTAAGGTCGATGGCGACTCCGATCAGTTCGCAACGAATCCCGCAATCCGGAGGGGCGGTTGCGACACCAGAAATTGGGTTTCTATCAGTTTGAGCTAGTGAACCTATGAGACGGAGAAATCATCAACTATGCAAACGATTCGAGCTAATGAACTTATTGACACTTCCATCCTCAAGTTTTTCATTTCGATTCGAGTTATTGATCTCTTCCGTCTATTTGGTACCTGGATATATATTAACAAAGAAAAAATAAGGAATGAAAGAGAAATGACGCTAGTTGATGTCATTTCTGATTTTCCTGACAACGATAGAAATAGAATGGAGAACGGACGAGGATTTTTGTATTAGAGAGGCATAGTAGTGTTAGGTCGGAAGGGTTGAGCGTTGTTCGATTGGTATTAGATGGTTGGTTTATGAATTTTTATTATTTTTTTGTTGACATGACATGCTGACTATATTCAATTAACTAAACTTTAGATGGATAAGTTCAGGTCCTTAAGCCTAGAAATATAAGAAGAATCTTAAGTGATTTTTATTGGCTGAAAGTTTAATAGGTAGTTAATATTTGGTTAGTGGTTACCGAGTAGTTATGGGTAATTAGGGCATTAAAGTATTTTTAAAATTAATTAATGGAGAGTGGCCGGATTTTAAGGAATTCATTATGTTATGATTTTTCAAATTTTTTAATACTTTTATTCTGAATTAATGTTTACTAACTATAATATTCAGCAGTATTAGAGTGATGCAATTTTTTAATGATGCCTCATTTTTTAAAAGCTTTGTGTCATTTTTTAATATTGTAGTAAGACATTATTATATTAAGAGTGTAGTATTATTATGATCATTATCAACCATTATATTAAAAGTGTAGTATGATTAACCACCACCATTTTATGGTTGTTAAAGGTTTAAAGTGGTGTTATTGCATTGTTGTAGCGATTATTAACCTTTCATAGTTGATTGTTAACGTGTTTACGTTGATAAGGAATTGACTAGGAGCCAAGCATTGATAACGTTCTTTTTTTTTTTTTGCTTTCCTGTTGAAAGGTTTACAACAACGTTGTTAACATTTTTTAATTTTTATATAGGTATTGTTAATGACAAGCTATATGATTGCTGATGGATGGTATATAAGTGTATCAATATTTGAGAAAGAATTATAATAATATGTAGTACGATTAATCACAATTAGATATAATCATTATCAATAATTTTTTTTGCATTTTGATGAAACACAACTTAGCTTTTAATAGTTTTTATATTGTTATCAATGTTTTGAGAAGAGAATTATTACTAATATGTTGTGGGTTACAAAATATAAGAAATTTGACTGAGGTGTGAGAAAGTAGAGAGAGAAAGTAGAGTTAGAACGAAAAGCGGGTGACTAGGGTTTCGACGATTCACGTTCGTCGCGCCGGCATCTGCGCCGGTGCCTCTTCCTTTCCTCTTCTCTTCCCTTTTCTTGAATGATTTGCCACCTATGGCAGGGCCGAATTTAGATGTTTGCGAACGTCAGCCAACTAAGCCATGGGCGAGTCTATTTGGAATATCAGAAGCAAATCGGTTGTGTTATATCAAGCCAGAAGTGGTGAATGGTGGTTTACGGATGCCAAAGGTGGTTCGAGAGGAGGGTGCAGCAAGCTGGAAACACTGTTTGGTTGGGCAATTTTTACAGGATATTCCCCCTCTAATGGTTCTCCGAAGGTGGGCGAACAAAATCTAGGGCAGAGATGGTCAGGTGCGAGTATCGCTTCTGTGTGACAATCTTTTGTTGATTCAATTACCCTCGCATGAGACTTGTGACTGGATCCTGGAGAATGACCCCTGGTTTCATTTTGATAACTTGCTCTACCTTCAACCCTAGGTCCCGGGAATTAGTGCAGAGGATCTGGGCAGAAAGGCGTTGCCAATCTAGTTGCATTTGTCGAATGTTCCTCTTGAGTGTATTAATTTTCAGGGTCTGAGTAGAATTGGTAGCTGGGTAGGTATTCCTTTGGGTGTTGATCACACTACACGGCTTGGAAGAAGGATGGGCTTCGAGAAAGTGTTGGTTGAACTGCAAGCAGAATGTCCTTTCCCGGACACTGTTACAGTTTAGCCAGATGATGATCTCCCAATTCAAGTGCGGGTGGAGTATTGCCATTTACCACCAGTCTGCCCTATTTTCAAGTTATTTGGTAAAGATTGTTGTGGGCTTGTCCCGGGTCAGTAGGTCTGAGTTGCCAAATCTGGGGAACAGAAGGCACAGGTCTCGAAGGCTAAAGGTAAAGAGAAGATGGTAGAAGCAGAGGCAGACATTTCACTTCCCTCCCATGCTATCCAGAACAAAACCCAGCTCCAAGAAGAGGTTCCTTCTGTGAAGACATCCTCACATGCAAAATCTTCAAAACCTTGATGTTTGCTTTTCAGAGGTTTCCTCTCCAAGTACTTCAACTGGGATTCCATCTCCAAAACTCTCGTCTGGTACTGAATTTCAGAGGGTTGTAAATGGTGCAAGGCCTAGGATATGGTTACCAGCTCTGAGTCCAACAAGTGTTCTTCAAGTCTCTCCGTCTTCATTTAGTGTTCTTGCTGATCAAGACGGAGAGGGAGTGATTAAATTGCAAGCTGCTCCTAAGAAGGATCAAAAGAAGGCGGGGTCTAAACCCCTTTCCTCATCATGAATTGTTTGTTTTGGAATGTTTGAGGATTTAATAAATCCTGGAAGAGACGGGACTTTGCAAAAGTCCTGGTACAGCTAAAGGTTAGTGTGGTTGTAGTTTTGGAGACAAGGGTGCGTCAAGCAAAGTCAGAGGAGATTTCAGACAATTTTCTTATAGGTTGGGAGAGGCATTTGAACTATAAAGATTCTGATCTTGGTTGTATCTGGTTGTTTTAGCCACCTGAATTCAAAATAAGCATCTTGAAACCAAGTAAGAACTTCTTACATACTCTGATACAGGATCCAGTTGGGGATAATTGGAGCGCAGAGCTACTTATATTGAAATCAATAAACTTAAAGTAGATGGTTAATTATCCATGGATAGTAGGGGGAGATTTTAATGCAGTAATGAATCCAAGTGAGACTTCTAATCAGCTTCTGAAGACATCTAGTATGTCTGACTTTGAGGGGTGGTGCAATTCTATGGAGTTAGAGAATTTTAATACTCTAGGTTTGTATTATACCTGGTCGAATAATCAAAAGATGAATCCAATTGTAAAGAGACTTGACAGAGCACTGGTCAATGTTCCTTGGCTCTCTTCTTTTCCAAACTGTACTACGGAGGCCATACCTGGGATCTTTTCTGATCATTGTGGTATTCTAGTACAGTCGAGTCGGCAGTTAAAACTCTACCAAAGCCTTTCAAGTATTTTGACTTCTGGAGCGATCATCCAAATTTTATGCAAATAGTGGAGGAGGCCTGGTCTTTTCAATGCGTTGGCAGCCCATGGTATGTAGCAGAGCTTAAAGAGGTTAAAAAAGCTCTCCAAAAGCTGAACAAGGAACACAATGCAAATATTAGTTCTCTGGTAAAGGAGTTGGAGTTGAAATTACTACAAACAATGACAAACTGTCTCACTTCTCCTACAACAGATAATATCCAAGAGAAGAAGTTACTAACCTCCCAGTTAGAAGAGGCAAAACAAGCAGAAGAAAGGTTATATTGGCAGAAGTCTAGAGAAGAGGGGATTAATCGGGGTGACAGGAGTACTCGGTACTTTCACCAATCAGTGAAGATTAGAATAGCAAAAAGAGCTATCAGAAGAATCAAAACAGAAACGGGAGAGGTAATCACTGATGTGGAAAAGGTTGCAAATGAAGCTGTAAAATTCTATCAACAGTTATTTGGCGTGGCTAATGCTGAAGTGAAGCCCAATTCTGAGTTCTTAAAAGAGATAATACAGAAGCAAATGTCCTCTCGACACAAGGAATTTCTTTGCAAGGAAGTCACTGCAGACGAGGTTAGAGAAATAGTCTTTCAGATGAATATACATGAGGCGCCAAGCCCATATGGGTTCTCTGCTGGGTTTTTTCGCAAGACTTGGCATATTGTTGGAGAGGATATCACTAAAGGGGTACTGAGCTTCTTTGAGACAAAGAAACTAATTAGTGGAGTCAACGCCACTGCAGTAGCGCTACTACCTAAGGTACTCAATGCTGAAACCTTCAAAGAATTCCGTCCTATCTCTTGCATAAATGTGCTTTACAAGATAGTTGCGAAAATAATGGCAAAGATATTGAGTGTAGTATTACCAACAAATGTTATTAGTCTTAATCAAACAGCGTTCATTCAACGTAGACAGATTGTTGACAATATAATGCTGGCACAGGAACTAGTTAGTGGATATCATAGAAAACAGTTATCTTCTAGATGTGCAATAAAAACAGTTGATTCGGTACACTGGGATTATCTGTTCATGATAATGAAACTAATGAAGTTCCCTGATCGTTACTTGGAGTGGGTCAGAATTTGTGTTTCTACTACAAGATTTAGCATCTATGTAAATGGGGGCATGAAAGGGTTCTTTAGTGCAGAGAAAGGAGTGAGACAGGGTGATCCTCTCTCCCCTTACTTATTTGCCATTGCAATGGAGGGACTTACGGGTATGTTGAATAGAGCTTATGGAAAAGGTCTGATTCTCTACCACCCCTTATGCAGCAAAGTTATGTTAAATCATCTTTGCTTTGCGGATGACCTGTTGATCTTTACAGTAGGGTCAGCTAGAGCTATTCTAGTAGTGAAGCAAGTTCTAGATCAATTCTATTGGCAATCTGGATTGAAATGTAACCCAGGAAAGTGCTTTGTGGTTTTTGGTGGTGAGTCAGTCTTGTATAAGCATAATGCCATAGAACTCTCAGGGTTTGCAGAAGGAACGCTCCCAATGAGATACCTGGGATTGCCTCTATATCTGGGAAGTTGGCAGATAAGGATTGTGAAGCTCCAACAGCAGCAATAACAAAAAGGATTCGGTCCTGGCGCGCGAAAAAGCTATCTTATGCTGGGAGACTGCAGCTAGTCACCTCTGTTATCTCAAGGCTTATTCAGTATTGGATGCAAGTTTTTATTTTGCCAAAGAAGATCCTTAAGCTTGTTCAAAAACTATGTATGGACTTTTTCTGGCATGGTAATGATACTGGTAGAGCCAAAATTGTTTGGCCCGTCTGGCTTGTCCTAAGAAAGAAGGAGGGTTTGGAATCCGAGAACTTAGCTCCTGAAACTCTGCCTGTGCTCTACGACTATTATGGCTGCTCATGATGCAGTCAGGAGCTCTGTGGGTTGCCTGGATGCTTCAATATCGCTGTAAAACAGGGGATGTCTGGACTATAAAGGAGAATACCAACAGCTCGTGGGCTTGGCGTCGTATACTTGAAGAAGAGAACCCAGGTCTTTTTTAAGCAGGCAGGGAGATTGTGTTCCGTGGAATGGACAACTAATGAATAAGTATTCGATCAAGATCGTCTGGGATACTTTACGTCCTCAATACAACATGGTTCATTGGTACAAGTTGGTTTGGGGGCAGAACAGTGTTCCCATGTTCACTTTTATAGCCTGGCTCATAGTTTTGGATGCCATAACTACGAAGAGTAAGCTAAAGAGATGGGGAAGATTACTGATGACTATTGTCCCGTCTATCATAATGATAGTGAACACATGAACTCGTTTGTTTTTCAGTTGTGAGTTTGTCAAGCAAATAGTGGATGGAATACTTCCAGTTGAGATGGTGAGCAAACCCACCTCGGAGGAATCTTTTGACTCGGTTTGCCAAGCTGTCAATCGTGCGTAGAGGAGGTTTATAGGAGTCAAGTGGTGTATGCTTTTGACATATATTTGGCAGGAACGGTGCCGTAGAATCCAAAATGAACCAGAACGTGAAGCTCAAGTGCTGCAAGAGCTCATTCGACAAGATATGTGCATGATGCGAATTGAGTAGTGCAGAGGTAACATCAAAGTGGGGAAGAGTAGGAAGAAGTAATTTCTTTGTTTCGGCTGTAATTGCTTCGGGGAGGCCACAATGGAAGCCCCTTCGTTGTATTGGTTCACAAATTGCAAATTGGTTTACTTTATAGTAAAACAAAAACTGATTCAACGAAGAAGAAAAAAAGAATTATTAATAATATGTACTATGGTATTACTCATTTAGATACACTCATTATCAATGATTTTGCTTGTATTTTCAACACCAACACAACTTAATTATTAATGATTAAGAGTATCATTATCAATATTTCGATGTAAATATTTATAATATTTAAACATTTTTTTGTGAAGTAATATCAAAACATTGGTAAATATATTGAAATTATTAACAATAATGCGTATACAAATAATAATTAAAAATATATTTCATAAATGTTAATAATATCATTGCAAATATTAATAATGATACGACAAGTTGCTATAGAAAGGGAAAGTGTATATTTTTTATTTTAAAATTCCTTTTTTAAAACATTTAATATCAATTATGAATTTATATTTTTAATTTCCATATTAAATAGTTGTCGAATTTAGGAGAGAGATGGTTTTCATTTTAATTAATAATGATACTAATTAGTAATTATATTTTATTTCTGTCATTGTAGGTAGTTAACTAATGATTAATAATAATTATCTCTCTCCTCTTATTGGCTACAATGGTTTTAAGATCCTCCTTAAAAAATATGGTTTACGGACCGGATCTAACCCGACTATTGATGAAAATGGGCCAACCGTATTACATTAAAACATACAAAATTAAACTTCAGCTCTCGTTTTGTATTAAGTGACAAGTTGTGTGACCGTTTATGATAATTACTCACAAGATGTAGGGATGGGCACGTGGGTGGTTAATCCGTGGATTGATATCGATCTACCCGCAAATAATCCGACGCGCACTCAATGGGTGATTGATGTGGGTGGATTGCGGATTGATAAATCTCTCACCCGCACTTGTGTGGGTGGGTGGTGGGTGGATTGCGGGTCACCCGTATGACCCGCATCCTATTTTTACTTGAAAAAATATCATTTCTTACAGTATCGAATATTCATCATATTTTCGAACTGCACAACAGTCTGACCATATACTTTAAAAGGTAAAGAATAAAGAATAGTTTTGACTACTATTATTGGTTATTGTGTTGTGCAATGTTCATTAGATATTGGATATTGGTATGCAAATTATTGTTAATATCCATTAAATATTGGGATGCAAAGTATAAATTATTAATTATATCAAAATCACAAATGATTGATACAATCTTACTAATTTGCTATGAACTTATTATAAATATTAGTCAACTTTCTTAATAGCTTGTTGGAGAATTGCTTTTGCGGGTTGACCCGCGACCCAAACGCACTCATCCGTCACTCACCCAACCCAACCCGCAAAACTATGTGAGTGGATTGCGGGTCACAATTATTCCAACTCGCTAGTAAGCGGGTGGGTCAATTTGAAGCCAAAACCCACCCAAGCCGCCCACCTCTAACAACAACAACATGTATGAAGTCTGGGGCTTTAAAGCCCAACCAGGAAATCACAACGAATTTCTAGCTAATGGGCCCATTACACATCATATTCCGAGCGAGTGGGCCCAGTCCGTGAATTGAGCGTCACTTGCAAAAGCAGAGTAAACCGGGATCAGTTCAAGATCTGAAAAATTTAAAACGATCCGAGTGCTGACCTTGATCACAGGAAGAGCACCGCTGAGCTCTGACGACTGACAATTGTTGGACGAAGACGGAAAGATAGATCTTCGATAATCCCGCAACCTCTCCGATCCCTTCTCGCTCCAATGGTGCGAAAGCGTTACCAAGAAGCTAAGACAGGTAAATATAACGTTATACGGCTGCTGAACTTTATTTCTCCTTCCAGAACAACAAGCTTAGTTGCCGTCCAAGTGTTCGACGAAATGCCTGACCGGTTATCCCTTTTGTTTATGTGTTTTTGCTTATACAAATAAACCTGCATAATGATCAGGCATCGAGTATCTGAAATCGCTGAACTACAACAAGTACCTGAGCAAAGTGGGGATAGGAAGAGACGACTGGTACTTCTGGAAGCAAATAGGCAAGGCCCTGGCCTGCACCTACACCATCTTCGGCCTGGCGTGGCTCTACAACGAGACCTCTCCGCTCGGGTGGTGGACGCTGAAGCCAAGACCCAAGGAGGAAAGGGAGCTGGCTCATCTATACGAGCGCCGGGAGTTCCCTTACCCGGGAGACACTGAAGCCATGGAAGAATTCGTCGCCAAGGGCGGAATGATCGGCACCACCATCGGCCCCAAGGGCGTGGTCGAGACGGACAAGGACTCGTACAATTACCAGAAGGATCTGCAGAACAAGAAGTTCGACCAGGAGGCCCAGAAGCTGTGGATCAGGATGAGGAATGAAGTCATCCAGGAGCTCCAAGAGAAAGGGTTCGATGTTGAGTGAACACTGTCACAATACCATCATCAAATACATCTTTCCATTTCCCTTAGAAGACCTAATACCTCTGTTATTGTGTGTCATGAATGCTGCTGACTACAATGTTGATTTTGCGCGCCATGTTCTTCTCCCTCTCTCTGTCAAAGATTGTTGTATAATCCATTTGGGTGGAATCCAAAGCGTCACTTGAGTGTTGTTGGTTGGAGCTGCCAATGCCATGGATGGATGGCTCACTAGTACATTGTTGACTTTTGCGGCTACAGAGATCAGCTAGAGAGTGAATCTGTAACCAGCCAGCCACATGCCCTTCTGAAAGGGTAGCCTGCTATTGCAGGGCCATGGGTCCTAGCCTGTGATTGTGAAGTCAGTCAGCCAGAGGATTTGGAGAATCCTATGCCAAAAACTCCCAAACAAGGTCATCCCAAATTCCAGTTTTGTCCACATCTTCAGAGTTGGATGCAAATAATAATGGCGAAACACAAACACAGAGACAACAGCGTGCGTTTTCCCAGATGAGACTTCACACGTGAGTTATGGCGGGATGCGTGCGTTTTCTTTTCTTTCTATCTAGGGCTCAGTTAGTAGATGCGGATTTTACCGCGTTTTTATATTTGTCAACAAATAGAAAAGAAAACCCCAGTTGCAGTGGAGGTCAAAATGCCTCCATCCTGCACAATTGCAGTTCTCTCATTTTGGCGGGAGGGAAAGAAAATTATATGAGACATTGATTTGTAACGTGTCATTTGAGCCGTCTCTAGATATCATAAATACGCAAGACTTGTTTCGAAATGCTCCCATCCAAACGACCTGTAAGGTTAAGGTAGAATTCTGCAGATCCGTAATCCATGTTCATATGAGATTTGGATCTGCACTGAAACCTCTACTTGGTCCGCAAAAGAAAGGCAAAAGAAGGGGAGGAAAAACAGATTCAGTTTACTGTCATTGTCAAATACGAAGGACAATACATATTATAATCTTGCAGGCAGACATGATGTCTTCTACTGATACTGAGGCAACCCATAAGTTATAACTTGCCTCTGTGATTTTTCCACAGGCAAAAGCAATACATCGTTATCAAGGAACCATCCAATGGCAGGAAGCAGGAAGGACAACCGAGAGGGTTAAACTAAAACCTACACTTAAATGAAGAATTCTCTGTGGGAACTGTTCATTTTACCTGCTAACAGTAACACTACCAAGTAGCTGCTTCATCCCAGTAGTCGATTCCTTGCTGAAATAGCCCAACACCACACTGACAAGAACTACTACACGGTTATGAAAACAAGGGGCAAGAAAACCCCAGAAAGAAGTGAAAAACATGTTTGGCATTCATTCAGTCATCTGAGCCCAGTTAGCGAGCAAAGTAACAAACTTTGGATTTGCTTTCTTCACGTATAAAAACAAAGACTACCAATAATACTAGATCGAGTTGAGCAACAAACAGCTTCGTTTTCACCTTTTTACAATACATTCCTGGCCATGGACAAGGGGTTCTTCAACCTACTCTTCCCTGATTTGCTCCGACTAATGTCATTTCGCAGCGGTGTCAAGTAGAATCTCATTAGCCCGTTATCCACATTACTGTTTGGGCTCGGAGAATACCTAGCACTCTTGTTCCTGGACAGCATCAGCTGGTCTCGCCTCTGCATTGCGCCCATGCTGCTACCGTCACACGAATTCCTCGCACTAACCATACAGCTTCCCGCGGTAAGCTTCTGCTGGTTCGCCATCTTCTCCAGTGGCCCTGCAACTATCATACCATCGACCACTAATTTCCCACTACCATTGCTGCTGCTGCTTTCTACATCTGCAGGCTTGCTGCTTTTGTGATTCCCGCCGAACATACTCAACACGTTTCGCCATTTAGGCAACTTCTTGAACTTTGAGCCCTTCTTGTTATCTCCACCACCACCACCGCCAGGCTGAACAACATCTTTGGGGGTAGAACCAGGGTTGCCTACTACATTGCAATCTCTAACAGAGTACCAATTCGAATCCCTCAATTCTTTCTCAGTCACCAGTAATTTAGCTCCGTGATGGAACAGATCAACGGTTTCAGGGGATACCTTTGCATTGGATATGGATTTCAACTCATCGTCTCCTAATTCCAAACCTGGCATCTTGACCGACCCGGACCGGTCGAAGCTCCTTCTCCGGCGATGAGGATCGGAGTAATAGCTCACCGTCTGAGCAGTTCCTCCGGGGCTGATGCTTCCATCTTCCTTCTTCAAATCCCCACTCGGCTCCGTCGGATTTTCGACACTGGTTTTATCATCAACACCCAACTTCACATCGTCTTCTACGACGGAGACCAATGGTGTAAACCCTGGATATGCTCTGCCAATCAAGTACCCGTCCCAGGAAGCTCGAGGTTCGTCGAAGGACCGGCGAGATTCTTCAATCGACAATCTCCCTGGGTCGAGTGAGTGTCTGGGATCGGCATCGCAAGATCTCCTCCGGCCGGCGTATTCCCCAACTTCCGTCAGCGTGTCCTTTAATTTCTTCAGTATGCCCTTGTCATTATCCGGCGCCGGGCCATCCTCACTGGTGGGCTTCTTTTCATCCTTCTTCTTCCTCTGCTTCAGCTGCCATTTCCCCAATTTCTTGCTGAAAACCGAAGCCGCTTCCCAGAAGCTCTTCCCGGCGTTACTACCCTTCTTCTTGTCCCACTCGAGATCTATGAACTCCTTCATCGTCTTCAGCTCCCCGTCTTCCTCCTCGAAGTCGTACTCCACATCCGGCGGCACGATCTCATCCCCGCCGAAAACCCTAATTTCTCCGTCGCCATCCTCATCTCCTCCTCGTAGCATCTCGAGCTCGGAGACGACGGCCTTGGCCTTCGCTTTGGCCTTGGCGTACGATTCGATGGTTGGACCGTCGTCGTCGTGGTGGAAGAGCTCAGAGAGGCTGTTCCGGGGCCGGACCTCGCATGAGCGGCGGCGGGGCTCGGAGATTGTGGTGTTGGTGGTGGCGGAGGTGGAAGTGGTGGAGGAGGAGGCATTGGGGTTGGAGCTGCTGGAGAAGGATTTGGAGCGGCGGAGCTCGAGGGCGAGGTGGGTAATGGGGGTTTCCTGGTGGGTGTCGGGGTCGATCCCGGCGAGGCGCTCGCGGAGGCAGGCGGCGCAGAACCCGGTGACGGCCTTGGTGGGGTGGCGGTGGCAGGTGAAGTGACGGCGGCGCTGCGGCGGAGCAGGACTCATGGCTGCAGGACGAAGGGAATGAAGCAGACGGCAAAGATCATTTGCCTAGGAAAACAGACAGAGAGAGAGTCGGAGTGGGAGTTTGAGCTGAGTCGCAGATCTGAGAGAAAGAGAAAGATGGAGAGAGAATAGGAGACCTACAGAGGAAGATGAATGATGCCGATGGAGAGAAGTAGCTGCTTCGTACGTACTATAGTCTATACTCTATACTACTGAGGCGCAGTTAGTGGTCAGGCATTATGGTGGAGAAGCGAAAAGAAAAGAGAAACGAAAACCCCTCATAAACCGTCTTTTTTTTCAACCTAAAACCCTATCATTATTCACTACTAAGCCAAATCTAACTCTAGGGAGGGAGAGATTTATCATTTATGATTTTTTTTTTTTTTTTGACAAATCAAAGAAAGAGATTTATGATTCGGAAGAGCATTTATCTCCATACAATTGTAAAATTAATTATGTGTATTGTTTCTACAGCCATTTTAATAATTTATGCAATTACACCTCCATTAATTTAATTCATTTGAATTATATATATATGCTAAAATTGTAACAAAAAAATAGATAATTATATTGAAAAATTCCATCATTCCCCTTTTTAGGCTTTTTTGCTTTCATATTCAATTCGATTTGCTGCAACTTGCAACATTCCAAAAATTCATTTCGTACCATCTTGTCATATAAAATGAAATACAAATGTGGATGTTTCAAAAAATCATCCAAATTTAACTTATAAAACACGTTTTAGAGCGGTGTATAGATGGTTGATCTCTATCATATTACCATATAAAATGAAATATCAAAGTGGATGTTTAAAAAAAAATATCCAAATTTAACTTACAAAATAAGTTTTAGAGCAGTGAATAATTGGCTGGCCTCTAAAAAATTCATCATGATGCATCAAAAACAAAATGGTACATGATAGATCCAAAACAATAATATTTTAATCATAAAGATGGGATTGCAAACACCATCTACTTAACTCTGCTTCATTATTGTTATGTTTCCCCTAAATAAGAGTTCACCTATTAATTGGCTAATTAATAATTCTCCTCGGTAATTAAGAAAGATGAAAAGTGTTCCACCAACCGCTAACCAATTAAATTCACCACAACAGCCTCGTTAGAAGGAAACCGGTTTATATTCCTGGCTACACAAGGGAGACTAGAGACAGAAAATACTCATGCAAACTCTCCATGTTGGTTTTTTCTTCAAGCAACATTTTCCAACAGCAAATATACTCATGAATGTATCCGTTTTGGAAAATGACTCGTGAATGTTTGAATGATTCTTCAGTTGTAGCAAATATAACGATTGTTTCCAAAACTTGTTCCATGCACATTCAGATATCCCTCTAAAGGTAATTATCGTAACAAATTTGCGACTAAATTTACAAGGATTAATTTTTAATTCTAAACCACATCATTGTGATTACTGAAATAATACTATCATTCTACAAGGATTATAGTTATGATATAACCCTTTACTGTATCATTTTTTCAAATATGTCCCTCTACTATTTTTACATCAAACATGCCTTGTATTTTTACATCAAAAGATCGTCAACCACGGTCGAACCTTGGTCTGGGCGTCACAAATGTCTAAACGATCTCTAATAATTTCATTTTAAAGTATTTTTGGTTCTTTTGTACAACAAAATACCTCTAGTAATTTCACTTTAACGAGACCTGTAGAAATAATATGGGAACAAAACTGACATTTCCCTCCCATTTACTAATGTCGGGTCGTCTAAATCTAGGTTCAACCATGGTTGATGATTTTTTTCAAAGAAAACTTTAAAAAAATGCATATTTGATAATTTTTCTAAAATACAAGAGATATAAAAATAGTAAAGAGGTATATTTGATAAAACTGCATAATAGAATATGCATACTATACCTATAAAGCTCAACAAATTGGTGGTTTCGCGCGTGCGATCTTAGCCTAGTGATGCCCGCCATAGGAGAACACACCGGACAAATATTGTCCCCTACCTTCAGCATCCGACATGCCCGCTAGAAAAAGTCAACGTAGGCGTCCTCGTCAAGGCGGCCAAGGATCCAGGCGCCTCAATGGAACTAATTATCTCCCATGCTGTCGTGATTGAGCGCCCAGACCATTTCACGTCTGTGAGGCCCTTGCTCAACATGGCCAACCTTACTGTGCAGGTAAATCGCATGTCTTGGTGTGTTCATCCTTGGCTCGTTTGTTCGATCATGTACCTGGCACTATATTGTCCTTGTCTAATGCGCTTCAGATGATGATGTTGGTCGAGTCCAATGCCCCGGAGTTTGACCAATTGTCAAAATAGAACGTCAAAGCTACCTCTGATCCTATGCGCCTTCGTGTTGACCTCACTTCTGCGCAAAAGAAGCAACAAGCATTGACCAGCGTCGTGACAAGGTGCAGGGCGAGGCTGAGGCATGGGCCGCTAGACTTAATAATGATCTTGAGGTTGAGCGTGAGAAGGTTAAGGACAAAATCGAACGAGAGTGTCAGGTGTGATTCGAGGCGCAAGCTGCCGCCAAGAAGGCGGAGTTTGAGAAGGGTGAGTGGGAACTTCGCGAGAGACAAGTGGAGTTGGTTCGTGAACGAGATCTCTTACAACAAGAGAAAGACTCACTGCACGACAAGGCATGCAAGATCTCTAAAGTGAACAATAGGTTGAAGAAGTCCAAGGACCAATACAAGGAGCTGAAGATGTCTCGTGCTTCCGAGGCGCGTCTCACGAAGGATATGGCTAACTTCCACAATTCGAAGGTGGGAAAAAAACCTTCAGGTTGACACCGTGATTGATACGGTGAAGATTCTGCAACTCAAATTTAGCGAGGATCAGTTGGAAGTGGAGTGGAATTCCCTGGCTCTGATCGAATATATTCTAAACTTCATGGATAGTGATCGCAAGGTGAGCGACTTAGAGCCGATTGTTGGGCTGGAAGTGTTGCCTCCAGTGGAGGATGAGGCGGAGGATGAGGCGCTCGATGAAGACCCACATGGGATGCCCGAAGGCTAGGTCCAAAGTGAAGTGGAGGAAGACAACCAGTAACTCGACGTCGTTATCTTTAGCCGTAATGTAGACGTCTTTAACTCGATTCAAAGTGGGGCACTTGTTTCCCTCCTACCTTGTGCGCCTTGAATTTATTGCTTTTTATGTTGTGTGACGTGTTTCCGGCTTGTTTTCAGGCACGTATCCTATCTCCTTGTACTTTAATCATTTTACAGCATGTTGCTCCCCACTATTTTCACAACTTGCATGGGCAAAAATTACCATTGTTTCACCTTTTGTACATGCACCTCTTCACCCCGTAGAGGACGCATGAGGCGTGAGCTTACTACCATTGTCATACTTCCTGTACTACGGGTGCAATAGTAAGGGGCGCTTTATTAGACTGGGCGCTGGACGCAAAGTTTTCAAGGCACTTTACAGAATCAGTGATTGGGCGCTAGGTTAAGGGCGCATTACAATTACCATTTAGACATGTGCCTCACAAGAAGAGCACGAGGCATTTTCATCTCCAAACTTTCATGCAAAATGACTTCCTTTCTCAAAATGGAGGATAAGGGCGCTAGGATAAGGACACTTTACAATTACCAACCGAATAAAGTAGCGAGTGCAAGGATAAGGGCACTTTACGATTACTAACTGAATAAAGTAGCGGGCGCAAGGCGCCCCACAAACTATTACCTCCACATATGTTCTTGGAACAAAACTTAAAGAAATAAATTTGGGCGCTGCTCTCTCTTAGCACCGGCCAAAGAGGATGTGCCTGATCCTGCTGCCTAATATTACATTACTCCGAAGTTTTCATTGCCACGTTGCCATGGTACACCTTGAGGTTCTGAGCATTCCAAGTGCGCTTTTCAGCCTTGCCTCCCGTACGCTCTAATTTGAAAGTGGCCGGTCCAACCACCTCCCTTACACGGTAAGGTCCCTTCCACTCTGGTGCGAGCTTCCCTTCACTTGACTTCGGACGAAAGTCTCATCGCAATACCATGCTTCCTTGTCGTAACTAGTGGAAATGCATCTTACGATTGTAATACCTGGCCACTTGCCTCTTCCTGGATTCGAGGCGCATGTCAGCGATGTCTCTACGATCATCCAGCATGTCAAGATCATGCGCGCGCTCACCTTCGTTGGACTATGCCTCATAGTTCACCATCCTGAAGGTGGATATGTTCATTTCAACCGGGATAACCGCTTCGCTGCCATAGGTGAATGCAAATGACGTCTCTCTTGTCGCCACCTTGTATGTCGTTCAATGCGCATACAACACTCCAGGGAGTTCTTCCACCCACATCCCCTTGGCACCTAGCAGACTCGTTTGAAGGTCGTGCAAGATGATTTTGTTTGCTGCCTCTGCCTTCCCATTTGCTTGAGGATATGCCACAGGTGAGAAGGGTAGAATGACTTCCTTCTTGTAAAAAAACTCTATGAACTTCTTGTAGTCAAACTTTTTGTGTGGTAAGCTACGATTGATTCTGGTAGCCCAAAGGGAGTGAAGATGTTCCTATTTGTAAACCGCAGCACTTGAGCCTGTGTGATGGTCGCAAGGGGATCAGTAGGGGTGGCAATCGGTAAACCGGTATTCGGTATTACCGGATAACGTCGGTATACGGTATCCGGTATACCAAATTCCGACGGTATCGGTATTCGATGGTGTTATTTGGCATAACAGTATACCGGATAATACCCGGTAATATACCGACGGCAATCCGGTATACCGGAATACCGAATAGCATATATAAAAGTGTTGATTTTGTGATTTGATCTAGGCATTTGGTGTTGTTTGTTTAATTGGTGGGATATATAATTCGATGGTAATTGGGCAATTGGTTTTGGAAATGAAATTGGAGGGAGAAGGGAGAGCTTGTCGGAAGGTAGAGAGAAGAACAAGGGAAGAAAGTTTTCTTTCTTACCTTACAACAATATATCCACGTCTAGTCTTTACATAAGCCTTTAATCAACAAAATATCTAGACCAATTATATATGCACCGCCCTTAATTGTGCATATTATAAAATCACAAACTTTAAATTCAGATCTCCTCTTGTCTTCTCTATATCTTCTTATAGCATCTTCATATCAGCACTACAAGCAAGCAACGTGTGAGGAAGGTGTCATCTCACGTGTTCGGTATACCAAACATGTACAAATCAAACCATGTACAAATCAAAAGAATAAAAAATGACCAGACTTCGCATGCAATGAGAATGCATCATCACCATCTAAACTTCACAAGGTGTAGAGAGAGAGCATACAAGCTCTACATATTCCATCTTTGGACATTTCTCTACATATGAAAAAGTATTGCAATTCGAAAGGTTTATTTTCAGCGAATTTAGAACTCATAATTCAATGACAGCAGTTTTGAAAGAAAACGATCTATCCGGTATCCGTTATACCGGTTAAAATACCGGTAATCGACTATCCGGTATCCGGTATTATGACGAGACAATTTTGTCATATTAGATAGCAATTTTGTCATATTAGGTATAATATGACAAAAGGTGTTGTCACAAAGGTTTGTCATTTTATCGCCGTCAAGATAGGTCAAATGTGACAATATTTAAAACGAAGTTGTCAAATTTGCTTTCAGTATATCTGAGATTCTGGATAGTCTATTGTGACAAACAGAGATGTTATGAAGACATATTTTGTCATTAAGGTTGTCATAATCTGGTGATATTTGGAGAATTGTTCGTCATAATTGTATATTGTGACGACTACATTTCGTCACAAGTATTTATTGTGACAACATTATTTTGTCATACCTGCATACATCAGCGAATATATTTGTCAAAAATGTGTCTTATTTGTCCCATGTCTAAAATGACATTTAATGAACACTTGGGGAATTTTTTTTTAATTAGCTTGTTGCATCTGCTTCTTGTTGTATGAATATGATATTGGAGACTTAGATTTTATATCAATCATCTCTTTTAAATAAGACAAACATATTACATGGAGTTCATTTATAGAACTAATGGCAAAGTAAACAGACATTAAAAGGAAAAGAAATAATATAAAGAAGCTACATGTAAAAAAAAAGCAATTGGAACAACAAAAGAGTACTGCAGAATTGAAATGAACAGAGGCAACAAATGGAGTAGATAACTCATGCAAACGTCTCTTATCGCCTTAAGCTTCAGATTGTTGCTCCTCGTCCTGCACGCCTTGAGGGAATATTGGACAAACCTGATTCATACAAAAAAATTCAGAGGGTATGAAAATTAACCTAAACCTTGAAACGCAAATTCACTACCAAATAAGCATAACCCTTGGAACACAAATCCACTACCCAATAAAATGCGAAAGAGATCTGCAAACCAATCACTAGTTGGTAAATCCCTCAATCTAAATCCCTAAAATCCACGTCCACAACTTAATTGGGAATAGAGGATAGAGTCGGGAAAGATGGATTAGAAGAACCTCCCCTAGATCTGTCAACTTCCAAAACCAGAAATCCAAGCGCCATCTCCTCAGTTCTCTAGCCATCTTTGTCGCCAGCGGGATTGAGGGCCGCAACTACATCTTCTTTTCTCTTCCCTTTCACTAGAAATCAGAAACCAAATCCTGACAAGCAAAAACAATTAGAATCCAATTAAAAAAAACAAAGTAAAGGAAGGAGGTGGTTTGCATCAAGGATTTTACCTCCGTAGAGTTGTAGGAGTTTTTGGTTGGACTTCTGCAGTTGACAACGGAAAGGAGAGAATAGGGATGGCGGCGGATGAAGAGAGGGGGAGGAATAGGTTAGTTGTGGTTCTTTAGGAACGATTGAGGGGGGGAAAGGTCGGAATGGCAGCGGATGAAAAGAGGAGAAGGAATAGGGTTTTTTTTCTTCCAGAGAGTAGGATCGAAACGAGAGAGAAGAGAGAGAGATGGGGTGAGCGGCGGCCACCGCTATTTGTTTAGGGTCGATTTCGTCTAAGAGACGTTATTATACCCCAACGATCAAAATGACCCTTTGCCCCTTAGGGTTTCTAGAAATTAGCGAGGTCGTGCCACCGCTTTATCGTGAAATTACCACCATGCCCCCGCTTTGTCTCTGTATTAAAATGAAAATCACAAAAAATGTGCATTCTAAGCTTCGAACCCATGTACTCGAGTATATTAGTCTAGAGTATTAGTCAGTGGGCTAGGCGGCCATCATTATTAAAGTCATCATATCCATATAATTAATATTGTATTATATCCTTAATACACAATTTTTTTTATAAAACTTAATACAAAATTTTGAATGTAGAAGAATCCATAAGTTAGGTTAATTTTGTTTCTTTCTTAATAATCTATTTAAATTTTATTAACAAAATGATTTATATGATAATCACGATAAGTGGAACGTGGTTTATAACTAAAACACCAAAGTTACCTCAACGAACTACGTGGACTTTGATCTCGTGTTACAGGTACGTAGGCAACCAAAAAGGTTCGAGTCTAACATGAGATTTCAGTCTAACACAAGCAAATCTGATGAAAATGTCTTTTGTCAAAAATGAAACCACAATATTATGACAAACATGCCTTTTGTAAAAAATGAAACCACTATATTATGACAAACATGCCCTTTTGTCAGTTCGCCGTGGGATTATTGTTATCTATTATGACAAAATATTTTGTCATTTAAACAATTTAGGAAGGCATAATATGACAAAAGCTACTCTGACGATATAATTTGTCACTTTTGTGTCTCTTACATCCCGATATGGGATACCTATTTTGACAAACTTAATTGTGACACGAAATAATTGTCACATTACTCACTTTAAATGACAAACTATTCTGACAACAAGAAATTTGTCACTGTTGAGTCTCTTACGTCCCGATATGAGATGTCTATTTTGACAAAATTAATTGTGACACAAAATATTTGTCACATTACTCACTTTAAATGACGAATTATTTTGACAACAATTATTTTGTCACATTAGGCATACCAAATAGGACATATATTATTTTTGTCATATTACCATACCTATTGTGACAAACAAAAAATGACAAAATAAATTTTTTGTCCTAATAGGCCAAATCTGTTGTAGTGATATACCGGATAACTTTCGGTATCGGTATTCGGTGGCAGAATTTCAATTGCCGGTATACCGAATACCGGCTATTCGGTATCCGGTGATTACCACCCCTAGGGATCAACTTTAATCCATTTAGAAAAATAGTCAACCGCCACTATCAGAAACTTCATCTGCCAGACGCCTTAGGAAATGGTCCCAATAGATCCATGCCCTACTACGCGAAGGGTCATGCGCGCGCATTGCCTTGCATGGGGGCAGATGGGATGTGAACATCGTTAGCATGGATTTGACATTTGTGGCAATCATCGACATATCTCTTAGCGTCCATGTGGACGTTGGGCCAATAGTAACTGACTCGCTTGTACTGTCATACTAGAAAGTGGGCAAGTGTAACCACCTACTAATGCGTAGTATAGCGAGTTTAGGTATAATGCCAACCCGGGTCCTAAGTGTGATGACTACTCTGTGAAATTCTTATTATTTAGCGGTTCAACTGTAGTGAAATTCCAACTAAACTAGCAAACAAAAGCAGTAAAGGTTGTGTTCCAAGTTCGAGAGAGGTCACCCAGATATGGTTCCCCCTAGACTGCAGTTAAGCCAAATTGTAATTCACCCAGTCTAGTTTCAATGATAATTATACTACGGAATGTTCTTAGACATTCTGAAGTCTCGACTAAAGGTCTCCAGACCCTCTCAATCTGAATCCCCAGCAGGCGACTAACCTCCACCGGAGTAAACAGACTGAGGCCCTAACGTGCCAAACCTCCTCTACTGGAGTAAATCCAGTACAGAATAGTGAACCGGCTCCTCGACTAAAGTCTTCAATTCACTACCTTCAATTAAGGAAGCTTTATCAAGCTAGGCGGATATTCTCTTTCTCGGTCAAAGCAGAAACTACAGGAATTTGATCAAGATTCATGCAATTCAAAAAATCATGCCTCAATTGAATATAATCAGTATCAAAGAACTTGTACTTAGGTTCATACAACTAGACCTAACATACAAATCTAGGGTTTTTCATACCCAGGTGAGTGAGAGAGTTTACTCCATAGAGAGAGAAGAGAAATCTGTTTCAGATGTGGAAATCATTTTGTGAAGGATGAAAATATGCTTCTGGTAATAAATCGACACTTCTCCAAGCTTCCACTAAGCTTCAATGGTGTTGAAGATTGATTTAGGGCGCTTGGAAGTTCTGTTCGTCGCTCTCTCTCTAGGTTTTCTGCTTTCTTTCTCTAAAAAGTGCAATTCCTTCTCTTTGGCTTGAAACAACCCTTTTAACCCGAGACTGGGCAAAACATGGTCGAGGACACGGCCGTGTTTTATTTTTGTCCGCCCGTGTTTTCGCCTCGTGTGTGGAATACACGCCCGCGCCGAGCAAAACACAAGCGTGCCCAAGGAGTGACACGGCCGTGTTTTGGGTCAATGGTGCCCGTGTTTTGGACTCCTCAGCAGCCGCACAAACACGCTCTCGGCATAAAAAGAACGGCCTGGAGGGCACGGTCGTGCTTTGGAGTGGTCTGCATGTGTTTTTGCCCCAACTTCACCGAACGACCTCCAAACGGCCCGAAACTCGTGCCTAGCCCTTCCTTCGACGTCTGGGACCTGAAATGTGACAAAATAGCACAACCCAACGTAAAATAGGCCAAAGATACACGACTACGAGCCGCAAACGAATAAGAAATAAGGGTGTAAACATGTGCAAATACATCGTTATCAGTAACCCTGGCACAACAACACTTTTTCTAGGCTCTTTGCTCCAGCATGCATACCGCAATCGCCTTGGTGCACTTCCTTAATCGCCCTTCTCCCCTCCTCGTCGGTGAGGCACCTCAGATAGGACCCCAAATGCGACCGTTTGTACATTTGGTCGTCGATGAATGTGTAGCGGGCAGCCTTGCCCTCACTTTACATGCCTCTTTTGCATCCCAGGCACCGCTCCATGTAGGAGGTACGCCTTAAACTAGGGCTGGTTATCGGTCGGTATTGGTATAACCAGTTACCAATTTACCGGTTATCGGTATTATCGACATGCCCAGCTTTAAATCCGACTACCGGTACCGAGTAATTTCCGGTTAACCGGCTTACCGGATTGTTGGCAATGGTTATGGTTCCTGGTTACCGAAAACCGGTAAGCCTTTCTATTTTCTTCGTCTTCAACTCTTCATCTTCCCCCAACCGACCCACTCTCTGCAGAGCACGGAGAGCAGAAGCAGGGGATTGGAGGAACTTTCGAGGCAGAGCAGCATCTCCTGCGCACGGCGTCTCTCCATCTCCATCGTGCATGCAGTAGTCGCTAGTGGATCCGGGCGCCTGCGAATGTGCTGCGACAGCGGTGGATCTCCAGATCTGTTGAATCTCTAGTCGGAGTCGGGGTTGGGACTCGAGAACGGAGGTAAAGCAGCCTTCAGAGGTTGGGACCGGGACTCGGGAACAGAGGCGAGGCCGTCGGAGGACGTTGCGAAGCCGTCATCAGAGGTCGGGGTCGGAAATCTCCAGTCTGAGAGAGTTGGGGTCGGGAATCGACTGATTGTGGATTTGCCGATTTGGAAAAGGTAGTGCATGGATTGGGGATTTTCAGTGGGATGTGGCCATTTGAGATTGAGAATCATGAACGCTAGTTTTGGATTTGTTGATTTGGAGAGGTTAGGGATTTCTAGTGCCGAGGTTGTTGGGGAAGAAAAAAAAAAGGAGGAGAGAAGGGTTGCAGAGCTTCTCGCAAGCAGGTGAGGGAGGGTGGGGAGTACAGGGGAGGGTGGTTTGTTTAAGTTTAATTGAGGATTATCGGTATTGGTAAACCAGCTAACCGCCGGTATTCTACCGAAATTTAGTCGGTATACCAGATACTCCTTTCTCCCATCCGAGTACCGCCACACACCGGTTAACGGTATACTGGTTACCGGCGGTTTCCGGTTATACCGTTAGCCTGATACCCGATTACCAGCCCTACCTTAAATTGCATCATCCAACTTTCCCTTTCCGTAGCTCTCCAACAATCGCTCCCTATCATCAAATCTTCCGGGGATGCTCCTTGGTGACAATAACATGCCTTTCGCCATCGAATTCAATTGTCGTGGCCAGCTTTGACAATGCGTCAACATGTGCATTTTCCTCCATAGGCACGTGAAGGAACTCCAGTTTATTGAACTAGGCGCATATGGTCTTAACTGTCTTCATGTATGCACTCACAGCATCTTCTTTCACCTTGTACATGCCATTCAGTTGATTTATCATGCAATAATTTTCCACTCCATCTAGAAAAGCCTTCGTCTATTATTAACTATTCCTTTCCAGGTTCTCTCTCCATAGTCAATTCTACAAATTCCGATATGATTTCTCTTGAAACAAAACAACCTTTGCGAATAGAGAACTTGCAAGGCAGAGAGGGAGGGCAGAGATCTTGGCGGCGTGGCGGAGATGGAAGGGAATAATGACAGGAGGCGGAGAAGGGATTGCATTTGATTTGAGATGGCAACCACCGCCGCCAACGGGGATGGAATTCAAAGCGTCGATGAACCACTGGCCGACTTGCTGGTGGCGCCACCGCGACAGAGCCGGTCTTCCTCGACCATCGTGTGCACGAGATCATCTTCGTTTGTGACGGAGATTATGGCGTCAAGATCTTCTTCATCTTCTCACCTCCTCTCCTCTGTGATTTCTCCACAGGCCTGTCTATGGGAGCGACCATCGAGGCTTCAAGAAAAATCGTCTGACGGTCAACCGTCGGGAAAGATGAATGACGAACAACAGGGAGAAGGAATTGAAGAACCGTCGGCTGGATCAAAACCGGCCGGTATTTCACGAAAGGTCGGTTCAATGGAAAATACCGGCCGACACTCTTATTTCTCTTAATATCAGCTACCGTATCGGGACTTGCCCGGTTTCCGGGTTTCCCGGTTGTACCGGCCGGTGCGGCACGGTAAAGCAGTCCTTGATATATACCCTAATTCTCCAATGTCATCTAGGGTACAACAGGGACTGCAAGTACGTGTAGGAGAAGGAAATTCCGACTCTATCACGTCTGCATGGGCCGCGTGTGCAGCCGGGGCCTCGACGTTGACATGGGCTGCTGAACTCGTCGTCTGGCCCAATACTCCCCTGCAAGTTGAGACGTGGAGGTCACGAACGCTCAACTTGGAGAGAAGGAAATGAAAATGATTAGCACCAAGACCCCTGGTGAGAATATCAGCAAGCTGGAGATCTGTGTGAAGGGCCTTACATGAAAATGATCACCAGACTGGACGCGTTCACGAACAAAATAACAATCCATTTCCACATGCTTGGTGCGTTCGTGGAAGACAGGATTTTTAGCAATGTGAAGGGCATCCTGATTGTCACAGTAAAGGGGAGTAGAAGTCGCCTATGGAACACCGAGCTCACTAAGTAACCACCGTAACCATATGAGCTCACTAACCGTGTTGTCCATCACACGATATTCAGCTTCTGCAGAAGAACGAGCAAAAACACGCTGCTTCTTAGTACACCAAAAGATGGGAGCACCGCCAGGACTGATAAAATAACCCGTAGTAGACCTACGAGTTTGTTCACAACCACCCCAATCGGCATCACAATACGCAGTAAGACGCAATGGATTATCCCTGGGAAAGAATAAACCCTGACCTGGTGAAGACTTCAAATAACGGAGAATGCGAAAGACGACATCGAGATGCTACTGAGTGGGGGTATGAACAAACTGGCTCAAGAGATTGACCGCATAACTAATATCGGGTCGTGTGATCGTTAAGTAGAGGAGACGACCCACGAGACGACGATACACCGAAGGATCAGGTAGCGGATCTTCAGTCACGCGTTTGAGATGGTGATTTTGTTCAACAGGAAAGGCACTGGGCCGGGGGAAACTGCACGCCGACATCCTCGAGAATATCCAATACGTACTTACGCTGACTGAGAACCACACCACTGGTAATGCGTGCTAGTACAATGCCCAAGAAATATTGAAGCTGACCAAGATCCTTAATGCTGAAACGACCATTGAGAAATTGCTTGACCTGCTCGATGAAATCCAAGTCATTTCCTGCTAGAATGACGTCAACGACATAGATTAAAGCTATCACCATAGTGTTGCCACGCTGGTAGATAAAGAGTGATGCATCAGCAGGCGAGGCACAAAAGCCAAAAGCAAAAGCGCAGAGGTAAACTTCTGGTACCAGTTACGCGATGCTTGACGAAGCCCATAGATGGATTTGTGTAAGCGAGAAACCCGTGTATCACCCGATTTCCGAAACACTTAAGGAATCTCCATATAAACCTTTTCTTGAAGATCACCATGAAGGAAGGCATTGTTGATGTCTAGTTGATGAAGATGCCAGCCTCGACTGATCGCAACCGCAATGAGACAACGTACGGTGACCAGTTTAGCTACCGGGGCAAAAGTATCATGAAAATCAAGACCCTCAATCTAAGTATATCCTTTCGCCACAAGACGAGCTTTGTACCGCTCGATGGTTCCATCAGGAAAATATTTGATCTTGTAGACCCACTTGGAAGCAATAGCTCGCTTGCCCGGAGGAAGGAAAACTAAACTCCAGGTGCCATTCTTTTCAAGCACATCAATCTTGCGTGACATAGCTTTGCGCCATCATGCTTCAAGGACGGCCTCGTAAAAGTAACGAGGTTCGTCATAGAAAGTTTGAGCTGCAAGAAAGGAGCGATAAGTACCCTTGAAACGAGAATAATCAACATAAGATGCAAGTGGATAATGAGCAAGAGACTTGGAACTTCCCTGGCCACTGGAACCTGCGAACTGAGTATCATAACTCTCAAGGTATTTAGGACGAAAGCGCTCGCGATCACCTCTGCGCAACGCTGGAGGAGATGGCGCGTGCTGCTGGCTGGCACTCGACGGGGGCTGGAAGATGATCCAGGAGTGTCACCACCATTTCCAGAGGGAGGGGAAGGTGATCCAGAACCGCTACTAGCCGGGGAAGTGAACGTGGGCGACGTGGGTTCTGGAGAGGACCCAGGGCCCGAAGATATGGGAGAGCCACCTGTTGGAGAAGAATCCGGTGTGGCACGTAGAGGAGAAGTATCGTCAGTGTCTTCGTGAGATGGTACAACCGGCTGAGGGATCCAGTGAAGCTCATGTCTTGCTTCATCCTGCATGGGAAATGAAGTCTCGGGAAATATAACATCCCGAGAAGTAATGAGACGTCGAGAGAGAAGATCAACGATCCGATAACCCTTATGGGTAGCTGCATAACCCAAGAAAATTCCGGCTCGACCCCGATCAGTAAACTTGTCAAGGTGCGCATGAGTGTCTTTGTAGTAAGCCAAACACCCAAATACGCGAAGATGATGATAAGGAGAAACCTTGCCGAAAAGCATCTCGTGAGGGCTTTTACCTATGGCGTTAGTCGTAAGGCGATTAATGAGATAAACTGCAGTAAGAACACATTCTCCCCAGAACTTGATAGGGAGACTAGCTTGAAAACGCAATGCCCTCGCTGTATCTAGGATGTGACGATGTTTTCTTTCAACGACTCCATTTTGTTGAGGAGTATCTGTGCAGGATGTTTGAAGAAGAACACCAAAAAATGAACTAAGAGATGAAAGCTTTTCAAAAGAAGGATGCCCCAGATGAGCATGCCATGTAGCCTTGGAAACTGCACGTCGATGTTGCGCTGCACATGCCTGCGTCTGGCCAGCTCGAAACAAACGCAAGTAGTACATTCCATCACGTAACTCACCCTTCCCAATCAACTTCTTGGAATGTAAGTCCTGAATAATGCATAAATTTTCAATAAAAATCAAGGCCACACGGTTATCCTTCGTTAGCCGACTCACAGAGATGAGATTACATCGAAACTCAGGCACATGAAGCACTCTGCCAAGAGTAAGACCCTCCTGGAGTTTTACTGAACCCACATGCTTAAGGTATGCTATGAACTGGCTGCCCATTAGTATGTAATTCCTTGCTAGACAACATTGACTCATCCATAGTAATATGTTCATTGCAGTCAGAATCCAATAACCATTGAGAATCGTAAGAAATCATACCTGCCATGTGAGCTGCTGGGTCATCAGAAGGCTTGCTCAGATAGCCAAAAAATTGCTTCAAGTGTTTCAACTGAGCCATGGTGAAACCGGGAACATGACTTGCTACCCCGTCCACCTGAGAAGCCTTTTGTTCGCGCTGTGCGGGTTCTCCAGCCGGGCGATTGCGACGTTGCTGGGTTCGTTTTCCTTGGCGCTCTCGTGTACGATGCCCAGGTGGATATCCAATTAACGCATAACAAGTCTCGCGAGTGTGACCGTGGCGATGACAATGCGTGCACTTGGGCCTGTCATGCTGATCCCCCGTACCACGCGAATCACCGGAGTTACGAGAGGATCGATCAGCATTGCCTTTTGCCGCAAAGACAGCTGCCTCGGCCGGAGCCTTGCGATTTTAAGTTATGGTCTTCTGCTGCTCTTCGGTGAGGACCATATGGAATACCTCAGCAAGAGTTGGAGTAGGCTTCATAGCCAAAATCTTAGTCCGAACCGCGCCAAACGCATCATCAAGACCCATAAGGAAATCGAACAACCGGACGCTTTCCTGCTGTGGCGAGCCTTGCGAGAGATGTCACAGGTGCACAGGCCGCAGGTACAAGTCAGCAGAGGTGTTATGGCTGCCGCCTCCTCCCAAAACGACCGCAGACTTGTATAGAATGCCGAAACTGTTTGTTTCTCTTGCTGAAGAAGGTTGATTAACCGATGCAACTCATAAGCACGGGAAGCACTGCCTTGACCAAAACGAGCACGGAGATCCGCCCAAATTTCTTATGCATGCTCAGCAAAACGAATACTGCTGCGAATCTCCTTGTCCATAGACATCTTCAACCAACCTTTTACCATCGCGTCACAGCTCGTCCAGGCAGCCAGCGCGCGAGGATCCGTCGGTTTGAGAACGGTGCCATCGACGAAACCATATTTGTCTTTGACAATAAGAGCATCTTTCATATCTAGGGACCATTCCCCGTAATTTGATGTCGTAAGAATCTCCTCAACCAGCATGTTGCCGGGGCTATCGGAGCTATGCAGCTGAAGAATCGACGGAAGGACATCGTCGGCTGAAGTGGAAGAAACTCCCTTTTGTTTAGTATCGTCGGCGCCGACAGTAATGGCGGACAAAACGAAGAGAAGAAACTGGAACTTAGAGCTCTGATACCATGTAAAATTTAGCGAAAATAAATGAACACTTTGTTTAACGTGGTTCTTCCTTACGTTGGTGAAGCTTACATCCACGGTGGAAATCGATCTCTTTATTTCGTATTGTGGCCAGAGGCCTTACATAAATATATATACCATAATTCTCCAATGTCATCTAGGGTACAATAGGGACTGCAAGTACGTGTAGGAGAAGAAAATTCCGACTCTATCGCGTGTGCATGGGCCGCGTGTGCAGCCGGGGCCTCGACGTTGACATGGGCTGCAGAACTTGTCGTCTGGCCCAATAGTCCTCACCGAGTCGGCCACGAGTGCAGCTTCTACGAAGACTTCGCTTTACGAGGCATCCGAGTCGACCCCTGCCTCGTTTCTTGTACCTTCACCGTGCCTCCTCGCCTCACTGTAAGCCCCCGATTCTTCTATGAAAAAACTCAATGAGCTTAGGGTTTGTAGAGGAAGAAGAGAGTGAAGGCGGCACAAAATGAGGGAACCCGCAAAGAGTGATTCTCCTCTGCTACTTTTCATTTATACCCAACAGAAAGGTAAAGTTCAGTACACTAAAAATGGAACCAGTCCGTTAAAAACAGAAATACGAAAAACAGTAAATAAACGCGCCACTTGTCATCGTGTAATTGGCCCTTCGTTGCTCCACCTAACGTTCACTGAGAAACCTCCACGACGTTGCTTTGGTATTCCCTTTAAACATCAGATGGAGGGGAAGGCAGAAACGTTTCGTTTCTGCCTTGGTTCGTTTCTTCTTCAATCTTCAAGCTCGCGCCTTCTGCAAGTGACCGTTGAAGATCACTCGTCTTCTTCCTGGATTGAAACCCCCCCGCAAGCTGGCGAGTAAGCATTGAAGACTCCCAGCTTGTCCAAGAGGAATTTCAAACGATAGCGAGTCACTCCCTTGGTGAAGATGTCAGCAATTTGATCATCAGTTCTCACGTGGCTTAGCTTAATCAACCCAGACTTCAGTCTCTCCCTTGTAACATGGCAATCGATCTCGATATGCTTTGTTCTTTCGTGGAAAACTGGGTTTTCTGCAATATGTAAAGCTGACTTGTTATCACAGTAAAGAGGGATTGGAAGAGGAACCTGAACTCCCATTTCCAGCAACAAATTCCTGAGCCACTGAACTTCACAAACAACTTGTGCCAGAGCTCTATACTCAGCTTCGGAAGAAGAACGTGACACAGTTGTTTGTTTCTTTGTTTTCCAGGTGATAAGAGAAGTTCCCAGGAAAGTGCAATAACCAGTCAGAGATCTTCTTGAATCAGGGCAGCTGGCCCAATCTGCATCACAAAACCCTGACAATTCCAATTTCGAATCAGACCTGAAATTCAGACGTTGCCCTGGTGTGTGCTTCAAGTACCTGATAACCCTATGAGCAGCTTGAAGGTGTTCAACAGTTGGTGGGCCTTGGAATTGAGCCAACTGCTGAAAGCATAGGTGATATCAGGCCTGGTGATAGTCAAGTAGTGGAGTTTACCAATCAATCTCCTGTAAACAGTAGGATCATGCAAAGCCTCTCCTTTTGTAGCTGTCAACTTCAAGTTACAATCAACAGGGGACAAACATCCTTTTGCTTCAATGTACCCTGCATCAGTAATTAACTCCAGACAGTATTTCTTCTGACTCAAAGAGATCCCTTTATGATCTCTCAAATCTTCCAAGCCCAGAAAGTAACTCATTTGGCCAAGGTCCTTGACCTTAAATTCCTTCCCAATAAACAGTTTTAACTGCTCAATGTCACCCAAATAACTGCCTGCAATTAAGATGTCATCAACATACACAAGGACCACAACAATTCTGCCCAGAATCCATCTCACAAACATAGAATAGTCTGAAGATGTCTGAGAATACCCATTCTTCATTAATGCAGTAGTTTGTTTGGCAAACCACTACCTGCTGGCCTGCTTAAGTCCATAAAGAGACTTCTTAAGTCTGTAAACAAGGCCTTGACCTCTAGGAACATTAGCTCCAGGAGGTATTTCAAGATAAACCTCTTCTTCTAAGTCTCCATGCAGAAATGCATTGGAGACATCCATTTGGTGAATGTGCCAGTCCTTTGAAGCTGCCACTGCCAACAAAGTTTTCACAGAATTAATCTTGGCAACAGGTGAGTATGTGTCAAGGAAGTCAATTCCATAAATCTGTGTGTATCCCTTGGCAACAACTCTGGACTTAAACCTCTCAATAGTCCCATCTGACTTGTGTTTAATCTTGAACACCCATTTAGAACCTACAGCTTTCTTACCCTCAGGTAACTTCACAACTTCCCAAGTCTGGTTCTCTTCCAATGCTGCCAACTCTTCATTACAAGCCTGGTTCCATCTGGGATCTTTGCAGGCTTCAGCATAGGAAGTAGGTTCCACTTCCATCATGACACTGAATGCAAATGATCTCTGTGCAGGAGTAAGGTTTTCATAGGAGAAGGTCTTCCAGATGTGATGTTTGGAACATGATGCAGAAATGTTTATGTCATAGTCTTTGTGCCATGCTGGGACATTTTTGGTTCTAGTGGACTTTCTGAGGAGTTCAGCCTCATTGGAATCATCATCATCAGGGAAAACTTCAATCTCAACCTCCCCCCCCCACCAGAATGCAAACCAGGAGACTCTGAACAGGAAGGGTGTTTAGAAGAAGAAGGAGAAGAAGAAGGAGTTGGAGATGGAAATGGACTGTGAGAAGGAGATGAACTAGGGGCATTCTGGGAAGTGGATGTGGTTGGTGATGAGGAGGAAGAAGGGCTATCTGAAGGTATGGGTGACAAGATAGGAAGAATAGGATCTGAAATGAGAGTAGGGGTATTAGAAGAGGAGGAAGAAATGTGGAATGGTAGAATTGTCTCATAGAATGTAACATCTCTAGAGACAAAGAAACTGTGAGAATTGAGATCATAAAGTTTAAAACCTTTAATCCCAGAGGGGAAGCCAAGAAAAATGCATTGCCTTGCACGAGAATCAAATTTGGTCCTATCCCTATGCAAGGTGGCAGCATAGCATAAACAACCAAAAACTCTTAAGCCAGAGAGGCTAGGAGGTTTGTGGTAGAGTAGTTCATAGGGGGAGGTGTTGTTCAGGGCAGAAGTGGGGATTCTGTTAATGAGATACACAGCATGCAACACACAATCACTCCAGAATTGAAGGGGAACTCCAGATTGAAACCTCAATGATCTGGCAACATTCAGTATATGCTGATGTTTCCTTTCAACCCTGGCATTCTGTTCAGGGGTCTCAACACAAGAGAGTTGATGCTCAATCCCATTAGCAGCATAGAATTTTGCCATGTGGAACTCACCTCCCTGATCACTTCTAACAACCTTGACATGTGTTGAATACTGCTTAGACACCATCACACAAAATGATTCTAACAGTTTACTAGCTTCAGATTTATACTTCATCAAGTAAGTCCAGACACCTCTTGAGTAATCATCAACAATTGTTAGAAAATAGGAGTAACCATCATGTGATTTAACAGCTAATGGACCCCAGATGTCCACATGAATAAGAGAAAAAGCATCCTGTGCACGAGAAGAACTAACAGGGAAAGGAAGCCTTTTATGTTTGGCAAAATGACAAGTTTCACAGTGTAAACTAGAGATCCTATTACATGGTACTAACAGTCTCTCTTTCTCTCTGTGAACATGCCCAAGTCTCCAGTGCCACAGGTCAAATGTTTGAGGGGAAAAGTTGTAGATGGCTGCTGCCTGAGGTTGTGAATGAGATGGTGAAGAAGATGGGGTAGTCTTGAAGTTTAGTTGATATAAGCCTCTAATCTGCTTTGCCAAACCAGTCCTGTTGAGGGTCATTAGGTCCTGAATTTGGCAAGAGTCAGATTCAAAGTGTAAGGATATTGGTAAGTCATTTGTAAGTTTACTCACAGAAACTAGGTTGAATGAGAAACTGGGTACAAGAAGGACATTATCAAGTACTAGTCCTGAAGGAAGTTTAACTCTCCCTATATGACTCACAAAAAACTTTGGTTCCATTAGGCAGGAAAACAAACTGGTTCTGAACTGGGGTGGACTCAAAGAAGAGATCTAGGCTGCAGGCTATATGGTCAGAGGCACTAGTGTCGAGTATCCATATACCAAGCAACCCATTAGATTGTTGTGGAAGGTAAGAAGAGAGAATGTATTTACCAGCATGGTTTGAAAAATGAGGAATGTGCTGTGCCACTGAGAAAGCATGATGATTAATGGAGGGAGAAGCTGGTGGAGATGGGCTTGGTGAAGGTGGGACTGAGTTCAGGAGGAACCTCAACTTGTTCAACTCCTCAGAAGATAAGCCAAAACTGCCACTGGAGGGTCTAGTGTCAATGCTGAGCTTGGTTTCTGAACTAGCAGTGTCACTGTCAGTGGAGGAGTCACTTTGAGAAACAGCTGCAGCCACATTTCCTCCTGCCATCCTTGCCTTCTTACGTTTGAGACTGTAACATTCATCAATGGTATGGTTTTCTTTCTTGCAGTACCTGCAGAACTTCTTCCCATCAGAAGTAATATCCATACCCTTCTGTTGATTACTTGAATTCCCTGTAACAGCAAGTGCTACAGTTTGAACTCCCTTAGTCCCTCCAGCCTTGTCTCCTTTAATCTTCTGTTCATGCTGCAATAAGTCATTTACAGCACTGTCCACTGTAGGAAGTGGCTTCATCATCAGCAGCTGTGTATGCACAATCTCATATTCAGGTCTTAACCCTTTCAGAAAGCGGATGAGATATTCCACTTCCTGCTTCTGCTTAAAAGCTTCCACAGCTGCACAAGGTCGAGTGAGTTGTCCCACACAATCACATTCAACTATGGGGTTAAACTGTGAGTTTTCCTCCCATAGACCCTTGAATGCTGTGTAATACTGTGTGATATTCATGGATCCTTGCTTACAAGCAATGATCTGATCCTGAAGATTGGCCAATTTAATGGCGTTTGGAAGTCCAAATCTCCTTTTCAGTTCTTCCCAGAGAACCTGGGCATTCTCATGCTGCATAACACTTCTCCTAATTTCCTTCTCAATTGAGTTAAGAATCCAGCATAGAACCAAAGTATTCGAAGCATCCCATAACCCAAAAGTAGGATCGTCAGCAGGTGGCATGACAATCGTACCATCTATGAATCCTATCTTGTGTTTAGTCTTCAAAGCCATACGAATTGCTCGTTGCCACATTTGGTAGTTTGAACCATCAAGATTTTCAGAAACAATCGACTGTGAGATGTTTTCATTTGGGTTTATGTAAAATGGGTTACCAAAAAGTAGATCTGCTCGTCCATTGTTGTTGTTGTTGTTGGTAGTCCCGGTGTTGTTGCTTCCTCCACTCGTCTGACCATCGAAGCTGCCAAAGGGAATTGCTCCAGCATTGAGTGGAGTGCCACCAGGAGTGTTTGGACGAGGTGTATTCGCCATTGCAAATCACTGGAACTGTTCCAGCTCTGATACCATATGAAAAAACTCAATGAGTTTAGGGTTTGTAGAGGAAGAAGAGAGTGAAGGCGGCACAAAATGAGGGAACCCGCAAGGAGTGATTCTCCTCTGCTACTTTTCATTTATACCCAACAGAAAGGTAAAGTTCAGTACAGTAAAAATGGAACCAGTCCGTTAAAAACAGAAATACGAAAAACAGCAAATAAACGCGCCACTTGTCATCGTGTAATTGGCCCTTCGTTGCTCCACCTAACATTCACTGAGAAACCTCCACGATGTCGCTTTGGTATTCCCTTTAAACATCAGATGGAGGGGAAGGCAGAAACGTTTCGTTTTCTGCCGTGGTTCGTTTCTTCTTCAATCTTCAAGCTCGCGCCTTCTGCAAGTGACCGTTGAAGATCACTCGTCTTCTTCCTGGATTGAAATCTTCATCCGCTGCTTTTACATAGTTAATTGCTCCTTCCAATTACCGATAGCGCTTCGAACGAGCGCGTGCGTGTGCTACCACTGTCGCATCTATCAATTTTGATTCTTCTCTTTTCCCCAAAATGGGAAGAGTTTGAGGAGTGATTGATTCACTCGAGAATTGGGAATGGTGGCAGGACAGGAGTGGGAAGCTAGCCACCAGAGCGATTGCCAACCTGGTCGATGAGGTGGGAGGCGCGGTGGTTCACGTGGAAGGTCTTCCCATGAATGTCTCCGTCGATATGTCCATCTCCTTTCTCGCCTCAGCTAAGCTCCATATCTGTAAGGATAATAGTTTCTCGTTGTTATGTAACAAGGGTTTTGAGTTGAGGATGATTCTTACTCCCTCGCGGATGGTCAATTTTGCAGGATGAGTTGGAGATTATTACCTCCAGAGTGTTGGGGCAGAAAGGCGGCTACGCTGGAACGGTTGTGCTGGTGAAGAACAAGCAGACTGGGGAGTTGTTCGGCTAACTTCCTAGCAAGATGTGATCTAGTGATATTCAATTCAAGCTCCGGGGTAACAAAACGCTTATGCTCTTTGATCGTCTTTTCGTGCTTGGAAGATGCTGAAACATGATGTTGCAGTTTGATGGATAGGAAATGCGAAGTCTTAGCATTGTATGATGTGTTACCAATAGAGAGCATAACCTTTTTTCTCTTGTTAGCTAATCGCCATTGAAGAGAGATGCATGGCGAAAGGATGGCTTGTTAACCTTCTGGTTGTCACTTGTCGGTGGCCAATCTAGTGAATGTAGTGTAAATGTAAGTACTTTCCATATTAATGACTTCACCTATACTCAGAGTTTTCGTGTTGCAGTGCAATTCACCATTGGCCAATTGCTTTAGAGACCAGTAGTGATAGCGTTTGTATCGACTGTTGACCTGGTTTAATGATATCTTCATCTTTCCATATATAGTCAGTAAGCGTGGATCTGAAACCTACCTTTGAGCAGACTAGTCCCCCTGTGTTTAGCTGTCGAACATACCTCAAGAGTACAATTTTCGCTACTCTATTAAGAAGGAACCAAAATTGTTCGTTGGGCTGAGGTTGTGGGTTGATATGAGTAATGAAAGTGATGCAGTTTGTACTCAGTTGTATAGAATGCGAGCTGGAACTGCAATCAGGCATCCACTTTCTTGTTAAGAAGCTTATGATGTATGACTTTTCTGCAGCTACTTAGATACGATGAGATTGATTTCAGCAAGAATGGAGAATGTTTGCTTTCCCTGAATTGAAGTTCCTCGGCTCTTGTTTATGTGAACAGCAGAAAGCCACCAACAGTAGTATAGTACGTTTGTTCAAACCCTGGGTTGTAATGGTACATTTTGAGTTGAGGGCCTTAGTGATGAAAAGAAAGCCCCCTTATGCACTTATAAAGTTTGTAATTCTAAAGGCTCGGTAAAAGAGTCTGCACACATCTAATCTGCAAAATCCAATCCAACCCAAAAATGGTGAGAATGAATTTAGATCCATGCCACTAGCTAAATGGATTATTATGACTGGTATGTCAAATAATCAAGTTGATCGATTCACAGTTATTTCTCGGTCGCATCTCATATAAGAGTTCGTTTGCTTGTTGGATTTGAAAAATGATAAATGAATTTGAAAATTAAGGAAGAAAGATTTTGGAAAACCAAAAATCTATGTGAGGATTTTGGTCCCTCATAGAACTTGGATATAGAGCGTCAAGGATATGATATATAATTGAAACGAAATTTAGGGATTTGGGAGAGATATGGATTGCTAAGATAGAATGGCGGAAGGATTGGAGGAAGAAGAAAAGGGGGGACGAAATTCAATGGAGGAAGGGACTTCTATCAGTAGAATTGAGAGCTAAAGTATGAATCCCTATTACAACTTATTGTGATAACATGTCAACTGTCCATATAGCTGAGAAACCTGTTTTTCATTAGATGATCAAACATATCGACGTTGATATGCATGTGATTAGGGAAAGGACTAATACTAGGTTGGTCAGAGTTTGTCATCTTTGTACCTCTCATCAAGTAGCAGACATTTTCACCAAAAGGACTGAGCAAACTCAACATGTTTGAATTATTTGGCAAGATGAGATTTATTGATGTATATTCTCGATCTAGTGGGGGCCTATTGGAAGATCAACAACAACAAAAACAATAATACGCTGCAATCGTGGGCACGGATTCGGAGAAATCAACAACATAGGAGTGATCAACTGGAATTGAGAAGATTAGAAGTTTGGAACTGACATAACACTTTATTCCCGCGCTCTGCGCATAGATTTGTGCACATTTATAAAAACAAAAAGGGTAACTACGTGTTTAATGTGATCTTTACATACACAAAATTAATTTGTTAATTAAAATCCAAGGAAATGAAAGGTAGTATTAGTAAACAAATGGCAAGTCTATCTTTTATTTTTTATTTTGGTGAAAAAGTCATCTTTTATTTTAAGGGACGTACAATCATTTCGCTAAGGCAAAGCTAAAAGGTTTGTTACAGATAAGCCAAAATGTAGAATTGATATACTGATATTCGTTAATATATAAATAAGGTTAATTACAAGGTTGGTCACTAAAATTACTGAAAACGTTCATGTTTAGTCACTAAAAATATTTAATTCCATTCGTGGTCGCTAAAATTAGTAAAATATTTTAAGTTCGGTCACTCTCCGTCCAACTCCGTTAACTTTGTCTGATGTGGCAGTCAACCACCATCTAATGAATTCTTTCAATCAAGTTCGCAAAAAGCAAATTGATTTACAAAAGGAAAACCTACCTTACGGCCGCCTTCGAGGAGAACAGAGTCGCAGAGCTTGCGGTAGAGCTCCTTCTTGGAGGAGAATGGGGGGCGGGAACGGAATCAGCGATAATGCTTCGATAATCGGACGGGAGAAAGTTCTCTCAGACTGCGTTGGATTCGGCGACAGATTGAAACTCGATGGATATTGTTGGGGTAATGGGGACAAGCCCACAAAAGTCAAGTGCCTGTTGGGCCTGAAGCCCATTTATGGTATTGGGGTAATAGGGATAAGCCCACGAAAGTCAAGAGCATGTCGGGCCTGAAGCCCATTTATGGCCTATTAGGGCATGACCTAGGTAGCTCTAAAGGAAGAGGGGCGCGTAGCGACAAAATAGGCTCGCGTACAAGAAAGTACGGATGTGAGAAGTCGGAAGGGCGCCACGAGGCAGGTGGTCCCCCTATGCGCCCCGACGTGGAGGACGGACAGCGCACCACGTGTAGGCGCGTAGGCGTTGGACCTGGCTGGGCATTTAATGCTGGGCTGACAAAAGGTTGTGTAGCAGGGGTTGGTCGGAGCCTGGTCGGAAGCTCCAGTAGTATAAATAGCTCCCGGTAGGTGGCATTTAAGCAGGTCGGTCTTTCTCACACTAAAACTTCTCTCTTCACTTATCTCTCTAGAATCCCTACTGACTTGATCGTCGGAGTGCTAACGGGCGGGTTCAGCCCTCTAAGAGTTAGTCTTGCAGGGTCTGGGCGCCTGGCGTATAGAGAGAAAGCGCATTGGGCGAGAAGAAGTATTGTGGCTTCAACAATTGGCGCGCCAGGAAGGGGGCTGGACGTTAGGAAGCACTAGGCAGATGGAAGGCGTGAACGAGGGGAATGCAGGCGCTGACGATGTGGGGACGGAGGACTCCAGTCACGAGGGGAGCGAGCAGCGGTCTAGCCCCATAGTGAGCATGGAGGTTGAGGAAGAAAGCCATGAGCGCCCATCTATGGAAAGTGATTCGTTGTCGAAGAGGGAGCTGTTTAAGATCATTGCTGACCAAGACAGGGCAATAGCCATGCTGCGAAGGGAATTGGAGGAGGAAGGAGCGGTGATACGAGAGAGTATAGCCCCCGGTGAGAAAATGGGATAGGCACGTAGATGATTCGGAGGTTAGTGAGTACGGGCGCCCCTACTATGAAGGGCCAAACGTGGAGTTGACACCGCCTAAGCGCCCGGGCGTGTGGAGGGCACTGGGAGAGTTAGCCACCTCGGGACCAGAAGAACAGAACCCATGGACGCCTAGACGCCAGACCAGGCGCTTTGGGATCAGGCAACCCCTAGCGCAAAGCGTTTTAATGGAACCAGCCGGAACTACCCTCCCGGCGCTGACCAGCTATGATGGAGTCACTGACTCGGAGGATCATCTGAATAGCTATTTCACGAAGATGCAGGTGTACAACAGCACAGACGCCACGTTATGCAAGGTGTTTCCCTCGACGTTCGCAGGAGTGGTTTTGGATTGGTATCATCAATTGGAGGAGGGGCGCATCGAGTGCTTCGAACAATTTGCGGAGTTGTTCTTGTCCAAATTTGCGAGCCGGAAGCGGCGAACACTGACCATATGCGCTTTGTTTAAAATCAAGCAGAGGGATGGGGAGGCGCTTAGAGAGTTCTATGATCGGTGGATTTCGGTCGGAATGGCTGTAAAAGATGTGCAACCGCCAGTCCTGGGGTGTGTCTTGAGGAGTGCACGAATAGAGAGGAGTTATGTAGGGTGCTGCCCAAGAGGGCCGTGGTGTCGACTGAAGACCTGGATCGAAGGGTCCAGAAGGTTATTGCCTTGGAGGAGACATTGGCCGCGAGGAGAGCAGAAAAGAGGCGCGTGGGTAGGGAAGAGATTGAAGTGCGCCAAGCTCCCCGACCATTCATTGTTGGCAACACCCCGCAGAGGAGAATGGAGAGTTAGCGCCCACCGCCCAGGAGTGCGGGGAATTACACGGAATACAACGATTCTTTAAAGAACATTCTGCAATACGTGAAAGATAGGGGGTACCATGTTCGTTGGCCGGGACCTATGCGTGGGCAACCATATGAGCGAAACCTTCACCGATATTGCGACATCCATCGGGATAAAGGGCATCACACGGCCGATTGCTACCAACTAAAATCGGAACTGCAAACCTTAGCTGATCGAGGGATGCTCAACGATTTCGTGAGAAAAACAGAAGAGCGAACTCATCGCGCATATGTCGCAAGGGAAACAAGGTCGGCGCCTGCTGCTCCAACTGAACCAAGGGCGCCCATCCTCCCCACCATACAACAGGTGCCCGAGGATAACCCACCCCCTTTCGAGATACCCCCGCCTCCGTTCGTGGTGAATCAGGAGGGGGAGCCTAGCCGGGTTAGGCTCACAGTGGAGTCCATAACTGGTACCCTCGACCTGCGAGACAAGTTGGATCGGTCCAGGCGCCTCAGGGCCGCGTTCGTGGAAGCAAAGGCGGCATTCCAAATATGTTTCAACCAGGAGGCGGATGAAGCGTGTCAAGTACCTTCAGAGGAGGCGTTGGAAATACAAGGAGTCATTGCAGGGTGTAAAGTCAAAAGGATGTTGGTGGTCACGGGAAGCTCGATGGATGTTTTGTTCAAGAGCACGTTCGAGCGCATGCAGCTGGCGCCGGAATTGGTGAGCCCCTCTGATTCAGTGCTGATAGGGTTCTCGGGGGCGCCTGCCCATGTGATCGGACGCGTGCGCCTTCCGGTAAC